GATTCGAAAAAAGGTTTCAGCAGCAAAATTAAAAGTTTATTAGCAATTTATAAGTACCTTTACCAATACTTTATTTGTTCTATTTGTTCAGCTAGCTTAGACATAAAGTCAGATATTTCTTTTACATTTTCAGAGTTTTCTTCTATATCTTCTTCATTTTCATTATTATCAAGATCTTCTTGTGTAAGTGAATTCGCTTCCTTTTCAATTCATTTTAAAAATGAATTGATATTTTTGACAATTCTCTTTTTATAAAACTCTTCACAGTAACTACACCTCCCATTATAACAAATCGTATGATAGCCGTGACTGCAAACAAACACTACACTATTATTATTGATAAATAGAAGTTTACAAAAATCGCATAATTCAGAATGTGGAGGATATGATGTACTATATGCCGTCGATAAATATCGCAAGTCTACCTCTTCATCTAGAATCACCAGTTTGTATATTTGGGGTGGTTTTTTTTTGTAGTAGCAGTGTTCTTGATGATGCGCCCATTAGTGCTTTTGGTGATACTTTTGATAGTGCTTTTGGTGCCGCTCTTGGTACCACTCTTGGTGCCCTCTTGGTGCCGCTCTTGGTGGTGCCCTTGGTGGTATGTTTGGTGGTGTGTTCAGTAGTAATGCCTATAGTAGTGGTGCCCCTAGTAGTCTCAATGGTGGTGTTTTCAATACTGGTGTTCTTAGTAGTATTAAGTTTTGGAAAACTTTTTCTGTGATTATAAAAAATGTTTTGAAAGTATTGCAATAAAAAAAGACTGGTCTTATTAGATAAAAAATCAAGCATTTTAATATTATATGGGTAGTGTCGAGCTTTACAGTATGTATCCTTAAGATTGAGATCATGATTCATTACAACATAGGCTTGTTTGATAATATTATCGACAGTTGCATTTAGTGATATGTTTGCTCTAATTTTACTATATGTATTTTCTACGTAATACTCATTAAAACTTGGCAAATGTTCTTGTAATACTTTCAAAAAAGTGTAACCCATATCCATCTAATAAAATAAGTCTGATAGAAATACAAAAGGTGCCTTGTTGTAGTTTTTTCTTTTCTAATGTAAAAAAAAACATCCAGATCTGAAAACCAGATTCTACATATTCATCAAACCGGCCTGACCGAAACAAGATAGCATATACATCAAGGGTAGTGGGAATTAAATTTTCAAGCAAGTCAATAGTTGTTTGATATTCAATATCTTTGCAGGTTGAACCAAATTTTTTCATGATATCATCTCTAATTTTAAGCCAACTACATCGCGAAAGTTCCAGTATAAGATTTATCTACCAAGGCCGAGGTTTTTTTGCAAACTTTTTTTTTTTGCCAAATACAAAATGAAACAGGTTCTTAAAAAAAGAATGGTGAACTAACACAACCTGCTCTCTACTGTTTAATGATAGGTAGAGGGGACCTATTATTGAAATAAATGACTCAAGCTTTTGCAAAAATTCATACTGCAAACCCAGGACCGTTCACATGTGCAATGCTTTTCAAATAAATATTTGCCCAGGCCAGTCAACAACAACTGGTACAACTGTTTCATTTAAATGCTTTGTTTTATCATTTAATAATAAAAGAACCCTTAATATATTAACATAATCTTGCACTAAGTGCAAACTTTGCTCTTTAAATCCTACTAGTTTAAGACTATTTATCGATCTTTCCTCTCTTCGCTCAGCTAAATTATCAGCATAACTATGTACTGTCAAAGCCTCAATTTGATCGAATTCTTCAAAAATTAAACGCCCTTGTAAAATTTGATAGTTAAAATATGATAAATCAAATATTCTCTTATATTTATGAAGTAAATATTAGCAGATTCTATAAGTTTCAATATTCATTGGATTATGAATTAATACGTTATTAAAATTAAGCAGCACAGATAAATATTCTATAATCAGTTTTGCAACAAAAGTTTCAAAATATTTCACACTTGAGGTTGATACTATATCAGGTCTTCGATTTTCGTGAATCGAATGATAATAGTCTACATTATAGATATGAAATAAATTTTTCTAACAAAAATAAAAAAAATAATATTCGATCATTAATATTCAACATGTTTATTTAAATTACTTGATTTATTTAACATACATGATTTATAAAATGCTGTTCAATTTTTATTGCATAGTCAATTTGAATTTTTTTGCAAAATTCCTCCACTGTTTTAGCATATGCAGAGTAACCAAAACTCACCATTGTGTCAACAGCTTCCCACATAGCACCTGATACCATTAAGTACAATTCCATCTCTAACTTATGTCTATTAACAAACTTGTTATGCAAATCTGCGATCATATAACATAGACTAACGATTGACTTTTTGGCTACATTAATACTATAAGCCAAACGTTCTTTGGAAATAATAATATTCATCATACTGCTAAAAAAACCCTCAAGTTGAGAATTAGCATTCCCTATCATATACTCAAATTTTTCCAGATCAAGTTCTATCGCAGCATTTTCTCGATGTTGTTGGTGATATAATACTTTGGTTAATACATTAACATATGAAGCAAATTAATTAAAATTTAATAATAATAATAATAATAATAATAATAGTAAACATATTCATAAAAACACCAAAGCATAAAACACATACTTATATCATTATTTGGTTGGGATTTTATCGATTCTAATATTTTTTTTTGAATTTTTATTTTTTTCAGCATGTTTCTATCGCTCTCTACAATTTTACAGTAATAGAGATGACAAAGTTGCTTTCCAACACTAAGATAGGGATATATTTCCAATATTTGCTTTTTGTTACATTTTTTAAATGCAACTTCTGTAATCACATGGTATTTACATTAGTATATGTACAGTTATTAATTGCACAAGGCCCGAAGTTTTGTTTGGATCTCATTTCGTTTTAATAAGCCGTATACTAAATTTAATAAAGAATTTGTGATAAGAACATTTGTTATTATTGTTGCAAAAAATTTGTTATAAGAACCTACCATAGTGAAATCTGATAGTAGCGAGACTTGACAGCAATGAATCCGGATGGTGTCAAAATTTGACAGCAAAGAACTTGACAGTAGCAAACCAATAGCAGCAAAATTTGGTGGCAAAAAACTTGATATTTGAAGAACTTCAATTAATTTTAATAGTAAAAAAAAAGTTAGAATTATGTTAAAACTTCAATGATACATATTTTGAATCACAGCTTTAAATGCTAAAACCATACCCTTACACTAAAACTTTATCCACTTCAAGCTTCGAACTAACTTCAAACCTTTCAAACCTCAACTAGAATGACTTCAATCACAACCACCTCAACCACAACAACCTCAACCACAATAGTCTCAACCGCAACAACTTCAATCACAACAATCTCAACTACAGCAAAACTTTTACGCTAATATTTAACAATATGTGACTAAATTTTTTTTTTCCTCCTTTTTTTTTTCCTTATATAATTTTGATTAGCCAATCATGATCCAATTAATTATGATCTGCATGTTGCAGATTTGCGACCAATAAAATAGAATTCTGTTACGCTGTAAATTAGAATAGAGTAAGCTTAAACAACTTGTAAAATTCTACAACTATTTAAAGATGCAACAGTTACAATATTATCCTCTGAATATTCTATATTAACAATGGCTGTACCTCTTTATTATGAATTGCTCAAAACTCTTGAAAAATAGCAGAAAAATGATGAAATACCTGAGTGGTTTATTGAAGAATGTAGTGCTACTAAGAATAAACTTTTAGACTATTGTTATAAAGCAAGTTTAGTACATCTACAATACTTTGAACATTAGGCTGGCCATCTGATCTGATCACTCAGATTAAAAATATGTAAGTATTTAATTTGTTGTATTTTTTTATTTTTATTAAAATACTTTATTAATTCTGCAAATATAATATTAGCATTAAAAATAAAAATAAACAAACCTTTGAATTATTACCACTAAATATTATATAAAAGATCTACAAGTAAGTTCAAGTTGAATACGAGAGTGAATTCGACACTTACTTGTTAATACCTCTTGCAGATCTAGACAAAAATATCTTGGAATGGTAGTAAGAAAATAATATAATTTTTTTGAATTTTATGAAGTTTGCTTAAGATTGTCTTCCTGTACTAGCAACAAGTATACCAAGTAAGCAAATTTTTAGCATTAGTAGAGAAATGATTACAAACAAATGAAATAGATTGGCTGATAAAACAGTATAAGCAGCAATGTGTTTAAGATTGTGGTAATGAGATTTTAAATAATTTAATTAGTTTTTTACTAAAATTTATATAAATAAATACTTGGTAAATGTAATTTATTAGTTATAATAAAACTAAATTGTTTATTTAGTTTTTTTATTAAAAAAATAGTATTCAATCTTATAATCATAAATGTTTTTATTATACATTATATATATAAAAAACTTTATTATATAACTAACAATATTTTATAATAATATAATAAATATATTAACTTTTAATTTTCAAGTAGGTTTTTTAGTTATAAAAAGAAAATATACTACAAATTAAAATCTAAAACTAAACTTAAAAATTTACTATAATTAGTATTACTATTGTTTGGAAGAGCTTTTATAATATTGGCACAATTTAATTTCAATAGTTAACTTATAGGTTTTTTGTAATAGAACAGAGGTAACAAATATATAATACAATTAATTATAATAATAACTTGAGCATATAAGAATATGTAATTAATTTTAGATCAGGGCACTTAATTATATCTACTAGTAATCAATTAAATAAATAAATCAAGTTAAGTAATCATAATTAAATAAGTCAATAATCAAGTTAGACAAAACAACTCTTTTTGCTGATTATCAAAACACAAATTTTCAGAAAAAACAAAACAACAAAAACTATAAAAAACACATCAAGGCCACTAGAAAACTAAACTTGGAGCTCTAAAAAAAGAAGAAGAGGACCACAAGAAACACTCAGTCTCTTAGAAGACTTGAGTAAAAGAAGCAGAACTAGTAAAAACATAGAAAAAGTCATGAAAAATCGTCAATATTTTTTTGCACTTTACAAATTTTTGGAGAATTAGCCTTGAACCTGAATCATAGATTTGTTTTGGTGATACAAAAATCACAACATGTAATAGAAAGTAAACAAAGAAAACACAACAAAAACCATGTGATGAAAGTAAACAAAGCTGTTAAACACGTGTAGCTAACAACAACATCTTTTAACAACAATAGAAAAACAAGAAGTCATATGAAGCAAATATTAACAGAGTGCCTAGAAAAGAAAGTCGAAATACCTGAAAAGATGAAAATAGTATTAAAAAAAATCCAGGCCTTAATAGCAGACTTACCAGAAAAAGAAATAGATGAAGAGGTAGAAGAAATGATGGCAGAATATACTAGACAAAAGCTTCTTCCAAAAGAGTTAGCTGATAAACAAATAAAGAACCATCATGAAGAGCTATAGCGATATCACATAGGGCAATTCGAATACACAGCAACTGAACTTATAAAAAGAGATCATGAGACCTTCTATAAAACAATGCAAGATAGTGAAGACTCTGTAAATCATATTATAGGAGTAGAAATATACGGTATCATAATGCAAATAAGACTAGATGATGGAATAAGAAAAATACTAATAAATAAAGAAAAGCAATTTGCTAAAGTAAAGGTGAAAATAGATTGGAGCAAGAGACTTCAAGAACAAAGAAGTAGCGACAAAGGCAGCATAATAAAACAGTCCTAAAATCTATAGTACATCAATTCAAAGAATCGGTCAAGTCTTCTGCAGCAGCACATCACAAAGCTAAAAGAAAATTAAAAAAACAAAAGAAAAGAAGATACAAATCCTGCAAAAGAAAAAACAAGTAGCAGAAATAAAGGTGAAATTGGAAGCAGGCTGGAGCAAGAGACTTTAGAAACAAAGAGAAATATGACAAAAGCAAAACAATGAAATAGAATTAAGAACACTGGTTGCAAACTTTAAGATATCAGCTGAACTAGAATTAGCAATACAAAAGAGGAAAAAAAAGAAAAGCCAAAAAAAGGAAAGAAAAGAAAACTAGAGAACAAAAGACTGTAGACCTTATAGAAGCTCTAGTTAAAACTCAAGAAGATCCAAGACCAAAGGCTAAAGAAACAGGCTCAACAGAATATATGATTGAAATAATATACCAAGTAAGTATTAAAAACTCACAGACAGATAGCAGTAGTGCTTTTACGAATCAGACTTGAACCAGACTTTAGTTAAGTTTAAGTCTGATCTGATTTTTGAATCAGACTTAGACTTTTATATTCAAACTTTTTAGTCAAGTCTGAGTCTGGTCTAGGTCTGGTCCGAAGTCTGCAGACTAGTCTGAGTTTGAATACTCAGATCATAGCTATTGTTATCTGGGTGGCCCGTATAATATCTATTACAGCGTTTTTATAAATTCTGGGGTATCTGAAAAAATTAGTCAAATGATTTTTCAGGTAATTCGATTAAGTTATTGATTTCAGCATGATAGTTACAATTGGTAAAGGTGGATTTTCCATAGTATATAAAACAGAACAGATGAAGAAGTTTCAATTAAGATAATTAAAGATTCGCATAAATATAAGAAACTTTTTTTAAATAAGGTATTTTTTTTTTGCGCATAAATTTATTTTGTTTATAAATTTAGTTATAAATTATTTTGTTTAGTTAAAGGTGTATCATAAATTTGGAAAATATCATAGCATATCAATGGATAAAAATATCTAGAAATCTTATTTTAATGTTAAATTATGCAAAATTTGGATCATTACGTGAAAAATCTTAAAGATATATTTAAATTAGAATAGAAAAAATATTATATGATATTATTCAAGATTTATCAGATATTCATTCTAAAAACTTTATACATCAAAATTTATATTCTGGTAATATTTTACTAAATAAACAAAATAATGCTTATATTGATTTAGGCTTATTGGTACCATGTGACAAAATATAGGATGATCATATTTATGAAGTTTTGCTATATTTAGTATCTGAGGTCTTAAAAGGAGAACAGTTCACTCAAGCTACTGATATTTACAGTTTTGTAATTATCATGATAGAAATATAAAACCTTTTGATGATTACAATTTTGATGCTGAATTAACAACAATGATTTGTCATAGATTATAACCTGAATTTGTTATAAAGATACCAAAATATTATGTTAAATTAGCCAAAAAATGTATTAATTCAGATAGTAAAAAAAGACCTATAGCTTTTGAGATTATTAATAAATTTGAAAAATAGAAAAACATTATAATTACCAACAATAGTAACTCAAATATGAAAAAAAATCTAAAGCAGTTAAGATTTTTAATAAACTTAAAAAATAAAAAAAACTATAGCTGCCAATGTTAACGATGTTAAATTAGACAAATAATATATTGATTCTGATGAAAAGATAAAACAGCAATTTTTAGAAGCTTATAAATCAATCACAGAATCATCAATTATCACAAAAACATGATAATATGATATATATTTCTAAATATATTGATACAGAAGAAATTGTTTCATAAATTGAAAATTTTAGGATTAATCATTAACTTAAAAAATCAAGAGAACTGTACTGATAATATTGATAACAATTTAATTTTTTATAAGTAACAAAAATTAAAGGATATAGTTTATATTGAGAGTATATAACTGATAATAAATATTATAATTAAGGTGTTAATTATTTTGCATTTATTATAAAAAACATATGCATTATATACAATACTTTTCTACGATAATTTAACATTATAAATATCAGCATGTTCAATATTACTAAATTTTCATTTAATACTTACCTAACATGTTTAGTCTGTGTGAAAATCACATATATTTTTAAATTATTGTAATTTATCATTATGTATCGATCATGCCAAAATTATTTAATTAACTGAATCAGT